GGTAGTATGTTATATTAAAACTGATTTGAATAAGCAGATCATCAAGTCACATGGCAATCACAGCTGATATAAAGTGGTGGTGAAACAGTGCATCTTAGAACTACATTTCAACTTTTCAGCATTTGTAGATAGTGTGATATCATAGAAACTAATTGCTTTGGAAAAGATATATAAAAATCCTTATATAATACTCATACACTAATAAAGATGTTTCCAGATCAGGATATAAGATTTTTCAAAATGATATCCTTTATGAATCAATTTGTGGCAACAGGATCATCCAGAAAGCAACCTGAAACAAGTCATACCTCAGACATGGTAAGTAAAGTTTGGTATCTTGTAAATGGTCAGTGGCAAAAGCTGTCTACTTGCAATAAGGTGCAACATAGACAAGAAGGATATCAGTCTGTAAAAACAACATAAGTCATTTATATACTAGTTGTTTCCATGATGTATCTGTTCATCATCAAATACCTCAAACAGCTAGAGACAGAAACAGGTACTTGTGATATTCCATATTAAGATATATTGATCAAATTATTAAATGCAGTGCCTGTGGATTTCTGTGTGATCATACTGTTGAAATGGGCACTGGGAAATATAGCCTTAGAATAGAGGCTATTGCAATACAAACTATGCTGCAGGGCTATTGTCAAGATACACGGTCATCAGACAGAGCACAACTGAACATGGCAACATGCATTGTCATAACATAGTGAGGCTCCAAAGTCATTTTAATAAAACATACTTAACCCCTGTATCACATTAACTCCTTCATAAGATAAATAAAATTAATTTTAACTTACATAAAACTTCATTAATAATACCAGCATGACACAATATGAAAATAAATACACTACGTCCACCATATGGCTGAAATACTCTTATACATTCTTCTTGGGAAAACCTAAAGGAACGATTAAAGAATAGAATAACTGAACATAAAATTATGTTCTTCCCATGCAAAGGAGTAGTTTAAAAAATCCTGCATGGTTTCAATGATACACAACTTCTTAGTGTACTTATTAAATTCTTAAAATCACAGTTTTTTCAATTTTGTAACTTCTTTCTCTCTCTCTCCCTCACATTTTTTTTCCTGTAAATCTTTGATAAGAATCCAACTTATTGAGAAATCAATACTATGCTAAGTGATTCTAGCTTTCTGTCAGACTGAGGTTGTTCTGCTAAATTTTTGTTAGTAATTTCACAAAACTAAACTCAGAAGCTAAAGTAATTCATATTAACTAGATGCTGTCACAAACCCAGTCATATCCTGCTATGTTTCCAAACACAGCATAATTTTCTTCCATTTATTGTTATATGTGTATACTTATATATATATATATATATGTATTGTCATGCATTGCCAGTCTTTATGTTTTTTCATGTGATTAAGTACAACATTTCACTGTTGCATAGAGCAGTTTTTTCTTCACATTTAGATGTCAGTATGACTATCTCACAAGAGAAATTGATTCTAACAGCTGTAAATGTTTGTATAAAACCAAAAAAAAAAAACTGTTTGAACCTGCATGTTATATAAATATAAATGTTGAAGGTATCCCATGCTAAAAAATGTTAGAAATTCAAAAAACAGCTAAAATGGGATAGAAAAAAAAATCATTTAAAAATAACATTTTGTCACTGTTAACATGGCATCATCATGTGCTTGGCACAATAAACACTACTATTAAATACACTCAATTGGTGATGTCAAAAACATAGCCTTGTGCTTAGCATAAGTATAAACTTACTCCTTGTGTTTTATTTATTAAAGGTTGGTATTCTTTAAAAAATGCCTTCACTTCAAATGATTGGAGATACTCATTATAACTCAAATACCCGTTTCTTAACTTTTGTAAATTATCTTAATTATGTAATTTCTACCTTAACAGCTTTGGCTTGTGCAGAGACAACTGAAAGCTTCAGTTTTTCACAATTAAATGTGGTAAACCATATAAAGAAATGGGAAAAAAACTCTACACTTATCAGTGTAAAAGGAAGTAAAAAGTCATCAAGTAAAACTGAATTCTAAGTTGTCTTTTACTCACCCATTATGAATTCCAGCCCTGCAACTGAGACTAGAAGACACACCCACCATCAACAGGCACATGAAAAGAAAGAATATTGCCAAGGCGAATGCTACACGGTAGACAGCCATGTATCCGACTAAAAGCTCACAGTTTTGACCTACACGTAGTGTCACACAGGTTTCATTGTACTGGGGGAACTGTAGAAAAATTACAAAAACTATCTATAAAAACATGAAATACTTCTATAGCATTCACCAACAAAACAAAGTATGTAGCACTTAGTGTTTGTGTCAAACTCTCACTTCTAAGAACTAAAAACTATAATTATTCAAAACTCTCTTAAACTGAATAGAAGAGGAGAATTAGGCAAATCGCCCAAACTTTATATTATGCACCAATTTATACACTCATACTTTATAACTATCTAAATCATACTCTCATATTAAATTTAAATGAACAGTTGTGTATATCTAACACAATAATTCACATTTCTGTATACTTGTCAAGTTTCATATTGGTTGAATGAACTGTACTGTAATCAACAGGCTGCTTATACATACAAAAGAAACCACAGTGGCCTTCCTGGTGGCATTTGCATCTGCATTATACCCTTAACATTTCTGTGAAATTTAATCTTCCAATCCCATACATTTGTGAGATGTGCTGAACTGTGAAACTTTTTTTATAATCACCCTGTACATAAGACCTTTATAATATGCCTAATATTACAAAATCTCAGGGTTCCCATAACAGCACAATGTTTTATGTACAACTTGGGTGATTCACTAAATGTGAAAGTTACAAAAGCTCTTTATCTTACTCCAATCACCGGTATATCATCTTAACTCTAGCTATAATGCTCTAACCAAATCACATCACATATCAAAATTTTTATAAGAAATACAAATAACATAAAAATAAATGCAACAGCTACCTGTAACTCAAAATAAATCAACACTTACTCCTGGAAAGAATTTTTTGGATTGCACAGACTTTTCCTCTCCCAATATGGTCATTCTTTATTGTAATAAATACATTTTCTATTATTTGAAAACTTTAAGAATTTGTTTTGTGATCAAATTTTCCTATAATCTAAAAGTAAGATTTCAGTGACAATATCAAGAATTTTAACAAAAACATCATTCATATCATTGAAACAACATGTCTCCTTCGTGATGAATGTTCTTAAATAAAAACTTTATTTAAATAGTATTACTCTTCTTTAAGTCTCCCACAAAACATAGTTTGTAGGTTTTAAGGTAAGGAATTTTACCTACATATTTATATGAGAACCAGCTAACTTAAAGAATTATTAATTCTTAACAGAACTTGCATGAAAAGTAACTGTTTAAAAAATGTCATTTTACAATAAATAAAGTCCTATGTACCTTCTCCATTATTTCTTCTTGTATGGCAGGAGTAAGCATGATGCACATCAACACAGTACCAAACAGAAGAAACAACGTGTACATGAGCCGAGTGGATGTGGACTCGCTCACAGATGGACAACACCAACAACAAAGCCGACATGCGATGCACCCACAACTGCAGCCAAGCTAAAAAAGTGAGGAAAAGCAGATACAATCACTTAATGTACAAATAAGTGTAGGTGAAAAGTATTATTGTAACTAATATCTATGTATATAAAAACTAAAAACATTCTAACAGAAATAAACATTCACATTTCTTCATAACTTAATATGATATTCACCAGTTTGTACTATTCTATGTTTAGAACATATAAAAATTCCACTCAGCCATTCTTTTTTTCGAATTACTTAATTTGCATATACAATAAAATATTAAGCAATCAAAAATTTACATAAAATTGTCCAAATTATATGAAAAACTTACATATTTCTCTGAAACAGGGTAAGTGTATTCATAATCCATCAAAAAAGAAAAAAAAAAAACAGAGAAACAAAATGGTATAAAAATATTTACTTCTCATTACCAGAAAAATGTTAGCAGTAAAAAATAAATAAATCTGAGTATGTCATTACACTAAATTGGGCTTATTTTTCTAGTATGATAAGGCAACACGGCCAATAGCTTGACTTCTGTTTCAGTAAATCAATACCCTTTCTTAGATAAATGTACCAAAATTGTTCACAGTATTTGAAATGAGGTTTAACTGGTAATTTACATGATAACTAATGATATTTTAAGCCATACACCCAATCATATCTCGTAAGGTTCAGCCAGCACAGTTGGCTTGGGTTAGTTTTAAGTCCATATAACAGTGCAGAAATAATCATTATAATAAAATAACAAACATAAAATTAAATTACGAAAAATACAAAATCAAAGTAGATGTATTAAATATTCTAGAAATGTCCAAGAGTTTAGATATCAGCAATGATGGAATTAAGATTTATACTAATACATGCATACTGTGTTATAAGTACAATTATTTGTTGTACATAGAGTTTAGAATCGATGTTCTTCTCCACAATGATAAATAGGTTTATTGTGGGAAAGACAATAACAGTGAACATTTCACAGAAAAAAACAAGTAATTTATAACTAACAGACTGTTTAGGTACCTTGAATTTAAAAGAATTATGAGCCATTGAGTGAATTAATCTGAGAACACACACTGATGATTAATGGTTTGGTATAAAATATGTAAGATTCAAAGATATAAAAATAAGACTTGTGCTTTTACTTAATAACTATTAGTGAAAAATGAATCAAAGGCTAAGATTTTGGCTGCAAGTGACTGGATTTTTCAAGAACTTTTTAGGAGTAACAGAAAGGTTCACTTTATACTATTTGATGATTCAAAGGTTCATTCATTGCAGTTGGATGACATATGAAGGTGTAAGGTGACAGAAGGCCATTCTGTGCATGAAGATCATTCCAAAGATATGTCTCCAAAGCCAAGTAAAAATATATCATGTCTCAGTTCTTAAATGAAAAATAACTTGGTAAGCCATAGGGGCAGTTCAGGCCAATAAAGAAACTGGTTTAGACACAAAGGAAGACTTATAACTGGATGAATACTATTCCAAGTGCATGTGTAAATACTTCTGCACTTTGTCTCTGACTAATGATAAGTTAAGCATGTATGTTTCTTTTAATCTATTAAGTGCATAAAATTTTTAAATACATCACCTGAGCTGTACAACAATTTCCCATATTTTTGCTTGTTGATCAATTTTGCTTTTAACATAAAATAGTTTTCTGTTGTGATAAGTCAGGATACTTCCAGTTTGCTGCATCAGTTATTATTTGATAGAGCATAAAATACATAAGGTACCTATTAACCAAAAAAAATGTTATTCAACAAGTATCATTAGTATCTTAATGCATGTACAGAAAACAGACATTACAGTGGAAAACAGAATATACAACTCAGCAACTAAATGTGACTGAAAAAAAATTTCCAAATAAGTCAGACATAAAACACAAAGAGAATTAGAGTTCTACAGCCAACTTACAAAATATGATTGGTTTCAGAATAAAATTATCATATGAAAATTGATAATACATAGCCTTCTTGTTCAGTACTTTTACTAAAACAATACTGCAAATGTAATCATATGTTTAGCTATAACTTGTCGTTTTAAGTTTTACTTTTAGTTAAACATATAATTACAGTTTACACTTACACTTTACAAACTACAATTTACAGGATTGTTGTCATTCCAATGACAATTTAAACTTAATCAATATGAAGTCTAAAAATTTAAGTTAAAGGATTTAAAACTCTTAAATAAAATGATGATTTTATAACATTACACTAGAAGCAACTTTTTACCAACATTTAATTTACATAAACTTTGTTTTTTAATTAACATAAGAACAATATTGGTTAACCTTTTCACATTGCAGTTGCTCGACGATGAGTTTTTCTCTTAGAATACGATACCACTCAAATTTCAGACTGAATATAGATTTTAAAACTGAAAACTATTTAATTTATATATATATATATCATTATATACAAATCTTACAACAATCGTTATCAAATCTTTTTTTTAAAAACAAGCAGACCAATATTTAGGCTAAGCGTTAACAATCTAATGAACGATACTAGCGACACATGTTTATAATTATAAAAATTATAAATAAACATTTTCATGCACAATAATGCTCAGTGGTTAGTATGAGGGTTTATCACGATAAAAATCGGGTTTCGATACCCTGGTGAGCACAGCACAAATAGCCCATTAGCTTTGTACTTAATGACAAACAAAAGATTTGGTAAAAGTTGCAAAAAATATTTGCGAACGTTTTTTTACTTTTATTTTTCAGTTTTATTTATTTTATTAGGTTTATTATTTTTTTGAAATCTTAAACATAGAAACATTGTTTATTACATATTCGTTTACAAGATTATAGTTTCCGGATTGTAAATTTCAATTGCAGCTGAAGTCAATCTAAAAAGAAAATCTTTCGATTTGAACTTGAAAAAGTACTAACGTTTTTACACATACTTAAGATACTCTGAAAGGCATGAAATGTATCTGTTTGTTTTTTATTAAGCACAAAACTACAGAATGGGATAGCTTTGCTGTGCCCACCGCGAGTATCGAAACCCAATATTTAGCACTAAAAGCTCTCAGACTTATCGCTGAGCTACAGGTCAATATTTTTTTATTATGGTTAGATTAAAAATATTTTTTTTTATTCTTAAGAAATATAGCAATAATATATAATAAAAAAGTCCGAAAATAAATAGATTTAAAAACAGGTTTAGCAATAATTTAACAGAACCTGAGAATACTGTTGCGTCAGCGAGGTCACGTGACTAGTGTCACGCCACATTTCTAGAACTATCTTGTTCCTTCGTGAATGCCCTAGCATTTACAAGATATATGTTTGTCTGGTATATATATATATATATATATAAGACGCTCACAACGTGACAACATTGTGTGTGTAGGTAGTGAGTAATTGAACTGCAGT